ATAAATATATCTCATTTATTACTTTCTCATTATGTTCATTTTGTTTCTTTAGTTTCTGATTTTGCGGTATTATTTTCTTTCAAAGCATTCTTCTTCATTTTGAATTTACGAAATGTACTTTTCAACCACTTATATTTCAAAGGATAAGTAAATTAATTTATTTAATATTCATTGATTGGTTTTAGTTGTTAATTATTTTAAAGTAATTAAACGTGACAATTATTTATTTATCAATTTGAAGAATGTTATTTATTATTAAAAATATTTCATTTTCATTTGAAATAAATAACTACAATTCTACATTTTTTTAATATTCTTCACATTATATTTTATTTAAACGAAAAACAACAAAATATTTTATCGAATGTTATATAAACATTATTGTTGTTTTTATTTAATTTTTACATAAAAATATATATTTTTGAAATAAAAAGAAATAGAAAATATTTAAAAATAAATGAATAAATTTATTGATAATATAACATAACGTGATGTTTTTAGTTATTGGTTTGAAATACAAACATCATTAAAACAAAAATAAATTTGTAATATTATGATTGAATAAAAATGAATAAATAATTTTACATAATTTTTGAAATATATTTATTATTATAATTTTTAATTTACATTAAACAATTATTTTTTTTTTTATTTAGTGACAATGATTATATTTTTATTCATAGATTATTAATTAGAATGAATGATGATAATGTTGTTAAATAATCAAAATAAAAGAATGAAATATGATTAAATTTATTTGTTATTTCATCTTCAATAAACAAAAGGAAATATTAACAATATTAATATTTTATCATATTAAATATTTTAATAATTAAAACATTAATTATTTCTTCTATTATGTTATTTAATGTAATTTTATAATTTTATCATTTTATTTAATTTTCATTTTCATTCCTTGTGTATTTATAATAATTATCTCATTTATTTTCTCTTTTATTTCTTATTCTTATTTTATTATCGTATTTTTATTTATCATTTATTATCTTTATTAATTTAATTTGATTGAAATGGTGTTGATAAAACATGAAAATTCAAATTACAAAAGTTGAAATAATAAAAATAAAACAAAATTGAATTTTCTTCTCTTCAATTTTTTTTGTTTTTTTTTTAACAAAAATGAAAAAATACTAAAAATAAAACAAGCTAATTATAGAAAATAATAATATTATAATTTTATTATTATTATATTATTAATATTATTATATATTTATTGTTATTGTAAAAATGATAAAAATAGTGTTTGTAAAAATAGAATAATGCTAAAAATACTAATTAACTTGATGTGTTAATAACGTGGATTAACTATTTAAACATCCATATTTTGAACTTGTAAACATCAAATTAAATTAAAATGGAAGAGTTGTATATTAAACAACTAGAAGAATTGACAGAAAAAAGAATAAACAATATACTATTTGATTCAGATAAAGATGATTGGAAAGAGAATACATCAGTATTTGATAAAAGAATAATGAATAAAGAACATATAATAATTATTATTGAAGATTCAGAAGGAAATAAATTTGGAGGATATGTTAATTCTAAAATTGATAAATGTGGTAGTACATTTAATGATTTTATAAATGATTCAAAATCATTTTTATTTTCATTAGAATCAAATGGAAGAATAAAAGGAATGAAGAAATTTGATATTAAACATACACAATATGCATTTATTTTATTTAATCAATCATATGATCGTTTGTTTGCATTTGGATTACTTGGTGATATTGAAGTTTATAAAGAAAATAATAAAACAAAATCATATTGTAAACAATCTTCATTTGAATATGAAGGAATATCAAATGCACTTTGTGGAAAACAAAATCCAGAATATTTCACACCAAAACGAATCATAGTAATTGAAATGAAATGATTCAATCTTGATGAATTGAAAATGAACTAAAAAAGAATAAAAACAAAACAATGAAGAATATGAACATTCTGTTCATCTGCCAATGAATGAAATGGTGAATTAAAAATTGACATAATTCAATGTTGATTTATTTTATTTCATTTGAAATTTTTCACACCCAATGAGGTGTTTTTTATTAAATAAGAAAAGAAATAAGAAAGAAATGAATAAACAATTTATTTGTATTATTTCATTGAATTAATTCATTATGAATAAAATGAATAAAATAAGAATAAGAATAAATAAAGAAATAAAGAAATGATAAAATACATTAACATATTTATGTTATTATTTCTTATTCTTTATTTCATTATTTCATCATTGAGTTATTCTATATTTCTTTTATTCTTCTCCTTATTATCTTTATCTTATTTTTATTTCTTTACTTTCTTTCATTATTTCTTTCATTTTGTTAATGTATATTTTATCATTCATGTAATCTGTCATTATTTCTTGTAAATTATTGAATTAATTTGAGTTGTAACTCATTATTTATTTCTTCTTTATTTTTATTATCTTTTTCTGACTCTTTCTTCATTTCTTCTTTCTCTTTTAATTAATTCTATATATTCTTCTTTATTTATCTTTTTTTCTATTATTTCTTTAACTTCTAGTTTTCATTTTGATATTTATGATATTTATTCCATAACAATAACAAATCAACATCACCTTTTCTTTTAATTTTAGTATTTTGTTTCTTCTTTGTTCATTATTTTATTTATATTGTTTTTCTCTCCTAATATTCTCTTTAGTTCTTCTAATATCATTCCTAGTATATCTCTCCTGAATTGGACTATTCCTTCTTGTATAATAACATAATAATAAAGTTAAGTAATCGAAGGAAATAATAAAAAAAATTAGCATAAAATTTAGACATATATAACGATAAATATTCAAAACTCACTTTGAAATAAAAGATTCATAAATACTATTAATGTTATCATACAAAATCAAACCATTTACAAATGTATTATTCGTCATTTTTATTCTCCAAACGATAAATGATATAGAATTAAATGAAATAAACTTAAATGGAATTTAAGAGTTGTTTTAATAGATAAGAAACAATAAAAAAGAGACTCTTCTTTTTCTTTGAAAAACAATTGAATTAACAATAAGAAAGGAAAGACTTTGTTGTAATTAAGATATTGGATAATGAATGAAAAAAGAAGTTAATTTTTACTATCACTGATTAAGAAATTTCGAATGATTCCAATAGTTAATAAATTAGCATTAAATCCATTTTCACTTCCAGTGTTATTTTTAATATAGTCATTTGTATATTGAGTTACTTTTTCTAAACTTTCATCTTGATCTATAAACACACAAAAATAAATGTTTTTATTTTGTGCTTTTGTTTTAACCGTTATTACTCCATCTATTTTTTTAAGACTAGCAGTGAAATGCTCAGAGATTTGATTAATGATATCTATATTATTCATATATAATAATATTACTACTGCATTTTCATTTTTAGTGGTGACTATAACTTCTGTTCCACTCTCTTCATTTAGATCAATCCCATCTTCTTTTATTGTATGAATATCTCGTTCTTCTGATGTAACTGATAATTGTTGTTTGTTTTCTGTTAATTTAAATTCTTCTAGAGATGGTTTAATGCTTCTTTTTTCTCGGGCTTGTAGAACAAATGGTGCAGAATAATAAGGTCCTCCTGGAAGTCCATTAATAACAAGACAAAGACGACTATGATGATGACTTCTTGAAGAAGAACAATAAGACTTACATTTATTGAACGTATATTTTTCTAAACCATCCTGTGTAGTTACTGGACCAATTTGGTTTTGATCACAATGATCTATTTCAATTATTCTTCTGTCTGATTGACATATTTTACAACTTTTTACTTCGTCACTTAAATGATTCTCAATAGCACTTTCTTTATGACAAGTAGCAGACATAACTGCTTTAATTACATCTTCAGGACGAAGATGATTAATAATTCTCCAATCTTCAGAAACAGTAAGTGTAAGAGTAAATGAACGAAATCGGTAAATAGTTTGACTGGACAAAGCAATTTGAGGTGGTTTAATATTTTTTGCATATAAATGACTTCTTTCAGGAATTTTACAAGAATAATTATTTTGATATGGGTCAGAATGTCTGTAGATAGAATAACTATGATTTGGATAACTAGGAGGAATGTTGAGAAACGGATACATCAGAAAGAACTGAAAATGGTAGTTTTGATTTTTCAACTTTTTTTTCACTGGAGTTATTTATTAAAATTTGTTTTTATGTTTTTTTTTACTATTTTGGAATATTTTTTCTTTAATAAAGATTGAATTTAAATTAGTATAATTTATTCTAAAAAGTGTAACTCATCGTCATGGAGTTGCATTGAAAATATGAAATGAAATTTACCTCCATTAATAAAAGATAATCAGAAATTATTTTATTGTCTTTTTTGTTTATTTTAAATCCCGTCCTTTAGAATTTTGTTTTAATGAAAGTTGATTTCTTTATAATTTAATTCTCTCTCTCTCTTATTTATTTAAATTTTTAATTATTAACAAAGAAAAAAATCAAAACAAAACAATATTTAAATTACTTGTTTTAAAATATCAATAAAAATCTGTTTTTCTACATCATATTTTTGTTAATGACTTAATTCAGATTCTTCTTAAAAACTAACCAATTCTGGTTATTCTTCTTTCTATCCATTAATTATACTTTTTTTTTTAAATCTCCAACAACATAAAGATGATGTCACAATGAATATTTCAGTATGAAGATTATGAGTAAATGATTTTATTTGAAATAATTATATGAAAAAATTAAGAAGAATGAAGAAAGTAATAAAAAGAAACAAGATAATTAAAAAAGGAGTTTATGAATCACTGATAAAAAAAAATGTTCATAAAAACAAAGGATTTGTTTAGTATTTTTGAAAAAGAGTAGAACAGAGAATGGATTGTAAAGAATAAAACTTCATTTATTTCATAAAATAAATAGAAAAATTAAAATAAAAAAGGTAATAAAATAAACCATAGAAATTAAATTGAAGAGAATTAATAAAAGAAAATATAAACTATATAATCATGGTAACTAAAAAATAATTTAAAAATTGAAATGGCTAAAAGAGAAAATAATTTTATCTTTGGAGATACATTAGGAGAAGGATCATTTGGTGCTGTTATTCTTACGACAGATAAAGACGACAATAAACAATATGCAACTAAAATTCTTGATAAACAACAAATTATAAAATTAAAAAAACATGCAACAGTAAAAAGAGAAAGGGATATTATGTCAATGTGTCATTCACCATATATAGTCAAACTATTTTATACATTTCAAAATCCAACATCATTATGTTTGTTTTATATATTTAAAAGAAAATAATAAATAAATAATAATATGTAGTTTATGTTTTAGAATTATGTCCTAATAGAGATATGAAATATTATTTTCTTAAATATGGCTCTTTTAGCGAAAAAGTTACTCAATTCTATATCTCTGAAATTACAATGGCATTAAAATATCTTCATTCATTAAATATTATTCATAGAGATCTTAAACCTGAAAATATATTACTTGATCGTAATATGCATATTAAAATTACAGACTTTGGAACTGCTTGTGTTCAAACTCCAAATGACCCTCCTAGAAAAAGTAGTTTTGTTGGTACACCAGAATATGTTGCACCAGAAATTATTAATGGACAAATTGGTTTTAGTAAAGCAGTAGATATGTGGTCACTTGGATGTATGTTATTCCAATTCCTTACTGGAGAATTTCCATTTAGAGGAAAGAGTGATAAATTAACATTTGATGCTATTAATGCATGTGCACCATCTTATCCTCATAATATGCCAGTTAATGCAAAAGATCTTTGTCAAAAATTAATGGTACTTGATATGAATAATAGAATTGGTGTAAAATCAACAGATGAATTATTATCTCATCCTTTCTTTACAGGTATTCAATTTGACTCTCTTCTTCAACAAACACCACCACCATTTGAAGCAGGAATGGCTATTCCTAAAATTGAAGATTTTATATATCCCGGATTATTAAAAGAAGGTGAAAAAGTTATTTTATATCGTACAGTATATAAACGTAAAGGAATTAGTAATACTAAACGTGACTTAATTTATACTGACCTTCCTCGTCTCTTTTATTGTGTTTCTAAAACTCCTAATATTAAAGGTGAAATTCCTCTTACTAAAGATACTTCTTATTTCATTAAAAGTGGATCACAATTTATTATTAGAGTACCTGGCAGAGATTATCAATTAGAAGATTGTCTTGGAGAACCTCAAGTATGGATTAATGCATTTGATGCTACTTGTCATAAATGGAAATAAAATTAACTTCATATTAATAATGAAAATACTCATTCAGTATTTCTTTTGATATTTATTATTCTTTCCTAAAAAAAAAATAATTCATTAAATTTAGTAGAAAAAAGATAAAATTTCATTTGATTTTTATAATGTTTATTTTTATTATCTACTTTCTTTGATTCTTTCTTTATTCATTATTTGGTTTTGTTCCATTATAAAATTATCATTCTTTTGAGAAGTTATAATTTCATTAGAATAAATGTTCTTGTTATAATCTTTCAGGTTAATTAAAAAAAATGAATTAATTTTTAGATATTTTTAATTGTTGTAATAGCATTTTGGTATTTTTAAATGACTGACTCACTTGACTTGGGAATATTGTATTAAGATTAATGTCTGCTAAATACAAAACTTCATTAATAAATTCAAAATCACTAAAAGTACCTTTTTGAACACACCAAATAAGATGGTTTAATGCTTCAATACGAAGACGTTCTCCACATTCTATTTCACAGTCATTAGCAGCATCAAGAACAATTTTAATACAACTTTTAATCATTTCTTCATTTCCACTTTTCCATAAATGAATTGTATTTAACACTTCTTTACATCGTTTTGGTCTATTAGCAATAGCTTTCGCATGTTTAGTTAGTAATAATACCATATCATTATATTCTTGACGATGAGAAAGAAGTTGTACTGCACCAATAATCTTTTCAAGACATTCTGCTTTGATAAAATCATCTTCTACAATTTCTGTTTCTCCCACAGCAAATTCAAAAAAATATAATGAATGTATATACTGAGCTTTTTCTCCAGCCAACATCGCTTGGAGTGCAAGTCCTATAGCTAATGGGGCATTAGTAGTAACTAACTTTTTTATTCTATTTAAGAATCTCTCAAATAAAACATCCCTTTCCATTGCTGATTGTGAATGTATTATTAATTGAAGTTCTACTTCAGCTATAGACTTTAGAGGCACTTCTCCAAGAGCTATGTTGATGTATTGATCTACAAGAGAAAGAGTTAAAGCACAAGAAGACTTATTAGAAATTTTAATTCGTGGGAAAATAGACAATGCCATACTTAAATCATTTTGTGCATCAATATCATTTACTTCTGGTTGAAGTAATAATCGTACAATTTTTAATATGAGAGATGCATCAGAATAAGATTTTAATATAACGTTTTGACGTTGTAAAGATTCAACAACAAGTCGAGCAATTTTACGTTCGTTTGAAGGAAGTAAAAGATTGAGTAAAGTTAAAAATCCATCAACTTTTATTGCATTTAACAAAGGAATTGTTCTTAAAGTAAGTTCTAATGCCATACAAATATGAAATTGAACACCAGTAGGAACTTGCCCTGAACATATACTTAAAATTGACTTAAATAAATGTTCTAATTGTTGGCAATAACTTCCTTTATTATACCAACTAAAGATTATACGAAGAATAGAAACTAGCAACAAAGCACCATCATTAGGAGATGTTAATCCACTGTTAACCATTTGAACAACCTTTGCTTGTATTGATTCAATAATATCAAAATGATATTCAGAAGATACATTAGGAAGTTTATCAAGAAATGGAGCTAAACATAATTTTAAATCAATTTTGCACATTGGAGAAGTTAAACCTGCAAGAATTTCTGGCATACAAACTAATTGTAAAGGTACTGGGAATGTTTCTATAAGAATTAAATAAAAGAATTCTTGTGCAGTTGTTGAACATTCAATCACTGTTTTCTGAAGATTCATTAAAATGGCTCTAAATAATGGTGCACTAAGTTCTAAAGAGGATAAATAACGTAATGAACGTAATGCAAGAGTACAAATTGGGGCAGCTTGATCTGAGACAAGATATTCAGACTCTACGACATGAGATAAAGCACGAAGTGATAAGGCTATGTGAGAAAGAAGGAATTGAATTGCTAATGTTGAGTTGTTACTAAATACTGGAATTGAAATAGTTGATAAATGATTCAATGCAAATACACGATGAGTTGGAAGACTTACAGTTCTTATTACAGTTAATAAAGCATTTAATGATCTATTTGCATAGTGTTGTCCTTTATGAATAGACGCAACAGCAACATTCATTAACATATAACAACGAACTACAGCATCAGGTATTTGAAGAATAAAAGAAGTAATAAGGTTTAAATCCATTTTAGTTTGTTGAAGATAAGTTTGAAATTCTTCTAAAGGATGAACACAAGTTAAATAAATTTGATAATAACATTGACTTGATATATTGTATGATAATGGTGTAAGAATATTTGTTAGTATATCTATTATTTCTCTTATTTTATCAAACTCAAATAACTCTTTCAATTGTTTAGATGATTTTCTGATATTACTTAACACAACTTCCATAGGAGGAAGTGAATTTATATTGTTTTTGTTTGTCTTTGGCATAAAAAATAAAAAGAAGATCTTTTTAGATCTTTTTATAGTATTTAATTAATAAAACTATAGTTTTATAATTCTCCAAATAACAAAAATGAATTGAAAATCAATGTTATTTGAAATTACTTCTTTTATTATTTTTTATAAACTATAATTAGTCATTATTATTGTTATTTAAAATATATTACTGTGCTATTGAAATAATGAATTAAATCATTAATATTTTTTGACTACAGAGGTTGTACGAAACAAAGAGTCAAAACATACAAAACAACATTTTATTTTGTTAAGTTTTGCTTATAAAAATTGTTTTATTTAATTTATTCCGTTTTAAAAATAAAAGTCAATTAAATAAGTATTAATAGAAATAGCTTCTATTGTCTATTACTTATTGGAGACTAATCCCATCCCTTTGTCTTCTTCTTGTAGCTCTACGGAGTATGTTTGGTTATGACTGAAGCAGTATTCCATGACATCCATCATGTTTTTAATCACAAGGTTTTTCATTTCTTTCTTGATGTTAATCTCAATTTTTAATTCTTTAATTAATTTATTACTTGAGTTATTTATTAATCCATTTATTGATATTACTACTGGAATTATTCTGACATATTTTATTTTCTATTTTCATTAGCATATTCTTTAATTCTTTATACTTATTTCTTTTCTTCAAATACACTTAATTAATAATGTGATCAGCCACAATAGTCATATCAAATATTAGACCAGTTTGATTCTTTTTATCTAATACGTATATGTCTGGTATTTTGTGGTATTGTCATTCACTTTTATGCATTATTTGTTTGTTCAATATCATTGTAATGTCTTTATATTTGAACACTGTTTCATATGGAGGTTTTATATTGATTATTTCCTGTTTATTTTCTTATCAATCAATATTATAATGCCTATATTGTCATATTTTTCTATTTGTGATTTATTATGATAAATACAAGATAGTAGAATGTGTTCTACTGTAGTTATCTTGTCTTTACAAAGTGTGGAATATTTTAATCTTTCATTTTTCATTATTTTTGATTTTCTATACCCACAAAATATTGCACCATCTTGCATTTTAGTTAATTGTAGGAATGCATTTTTTTAATATTGATTGACTTCCATGTTTTAACTGTAGTAGTTTTATCTACTCCTTTTGACTCATTCCATCTTCTAAAATATCCACTTATTTGATGACACTTCCATTTTTTGATGTATTTGTCAATAATTTTTTTATTTCTACTACTACTACTTCTTTTTCTTTTTTCTTTTCTATCCCTTCATTTATTATTTCTTCTATTTTTGTTTCATTTATTTTAGAATTAGTGTTTTGAATTCTATTCCATATTCCCTTCTTACTGTACCATCTATCTAATATGTTATTTCCTATTTCATTTTCTCTGGTACAGTAGTACATCACTGTTCTAACTAATTCAATAACATATTCGTCCCTTATATTTATTAATCATTCACCCATTTCTTCTATAATGACATACAACCTATCTTTGGAGTTTCCGGCACCAATGTATTTTGCCTTTCTTATTTATTTTCTTATCTCCTTTTCCATTTTATCTAAGTTGTCTTCTAATTTACAACTGATGCTGATTATCTGAAGATATTGATTACTTCCGTGTTTATTCTAGTAATATATCTTCTATTACTACTTTCATCAGTGTTTATTTCTTCCATCTTCTGATTCATTTTTTCTTTGATGGATTTACAATTGAAGGTGTCATCAATTTCGTCGGACTGCCATATTCATAAGTATTTATACAACTCCTCACCTTCAACTACGGGGATGTTTTGCATTCAATTTGGTATTTCCTTAATGTTTTTAATACCATTCCTGATTTTTTCTCATTCATTTCCATCCCTATTCCACTTATTATTTCTTTAATTTCATTGTGGATTATTCCCATTTCTTCACTACTTTCTGTCATTATTCTCATTTCATCCATATATAATGTGTGGTTTGCTTTTGGGAATTTCTCTTCGATGAATTGAGAAATTACATTCATCTGTATGATGAAGAGTAGAGGGGATAAGGAATCACCTTGTAAAATTCCTCTATTTAATTTAATACTACCTAGATATTCATTAAATTTATAGCCGATGAATATCTTCCATCTAGTCATCATACTTTCAATAATGTCAATGATGACACACTCATAATTAAAATATTTTAATGATTCAATTACCCATTCGTGGTTGACTGTGTCATATGCTTTCTTAATGTCATAATATGACTCATCATATTTTGGGTATTTCTATTCTTTTTGCTGATTTAACATATAACTATTAATTATTCCTTCTTTAGCAGCTAAAGATTGCAACTTACATCCCAGTTGATTTTTACTAATTTTAAATGATTCATTATTCATGTTAAGTCTTCTGTGAATCTTTTCTTTTAATATGGAGGTAAATACTTTCATAATTACATTTGTACAACTGATATGACGATAATTAGTGACATTATTCATATCACTTTGTGGATTAATAAAGTTCTTCCACTTATCATGTCTAATGGGATGTTTTCGGGGAAGTTCAACCATTCATTAAAGATATTGAGAATGATTTCTCTTGATGATGACATCCTTTTCAATAATACCCATATATAGTGTCTATTCATGGTGTTTTCCAGTTACTTATTTTCATTATACTTAAATTTAATTCATTTATTGTTATTATGACATTATCATAATTGAAATATCTTTCATTCCACGAGGTGATTTGTTTTATTTTCCAATTCTCTTTATTTAATATCACCTGTGTTTCATATAACATTTCCAATATTCTAAAGTAATATCGTTATTTGGGTATATTTCATTCTTTGGGTCTTTCTTCCTTATTCTAATTTTCTTGTTAGAATCAAACATGATTTTATTTGTATTGATTCTGATTATTTCATTTTTATTAAATTTAATTCTTTCTTTGATCATTGTCATCATATATTTTAGGTACTTTATTCTTTCTAGTGCTTTAACTTTTATTCCTTCTTCATCATGTTCATTTAATTTCATGATGCACTTTATTCTGTACCATTTCCTTCCCTTGACCAAATCTTCTAGTCTATTTATTTTCTTTAGTATTTCTTTAATTTCATCAAATTTATCTCTTATTATTTTATTTTGGAGATAGAGGTGCATAATCATTGAAATTTTCATATCATCTTGCAGATCCTGTATTCTGCTTCCTGACCATATCCATCTATTATTAATTTCCATTATTAATTCGTCAGCTTCTTTTCTTTTCCAGTAGTAATTAATGTTTGAACATTTTTCTACTTTCATTTCTTTTATTTTATTGATGAGAGTGTTAAGGTATTCTTCATCAATTTCAATAGAGTTATTCTTTAATATGTTTTTTATTATTGAATCACACTCTACTCTTCCTTCCATTATATCATTTACTTTCACTTTAATGTATTGTTTAGTATTTTCTTTTATTTTATGTGATATTTTAATATATTTAATATATTAATTTTCATTATTTACTTTAATATTTGTCACTTTTATTATACTTTCTATTTGTTCATTTCTTAATTTCTTATATAATTTCTTATTTAACCAATTAAATGCAAAACAATACAACACTTCAATTAAATTTTCTATTTCTTTCTTTTGTTATATTTATTCTTGCATTTTCATTATATTTTGTTTGTTTTTTATTATTCTTGAAATTTTACATCTTTCATTCATTTCTTTAATTGTATTTTTGTTTTTAATTTCTTCTTCATTTGTTTTAATGTCTTTTTCTTCAATGTCATTTGTTTTTTCTTTAATTTCTTCTTTAACTTTTTCAATTATCTTTTTCTTTTTGATTAAATATACTTCTTATTGATTATTATACATTCTTTTCTTTTTCCTTCTTACTTTTTGAGTATTTCTGATTATTCTTTTTTATTCCATTCACTTGTTATTCTTTTTATTCTTTCTTGTGTATCACTTGTTGTTATTCATTTATATTTGTTAATTGTATATTCTTTATTATTATTGTATTTACCTTATTTCTTATTTGTTTTTATTTGTATTGTTCATCTTCTAAATCCTTTTTCTGTTGTATTTTTATCATTATTATTATGCCATTTATTGTTGGTGATATTCATTCTATTGTATGACATTGAATTTTCATGTCTTATTTGTTTTTCTTTACAACACTCAAATGTTTTACACAATAATCGTTACAATAAAATTTGTTGTATTTTCTGCCTTTGAAATGTGTAATAATAAACAAATAAAGAAAATGAATAAATATGAAAGAATGCTTCTTTGTTGTATTTTCAATTTGATGAATAGCCAATATTAATATATTAAGAAATGAATATTAATGGGAATAATTCAATTTAATATATTAAATTAATGTTTAATAACTTTTATCCTATTGTTCAGGTGAGAATTTCTTCCCTTCCTTCACTCTCCTGAGAGTCTTCTTCTGGTACTTCTACATTTCTGTATTCTCCAGAATGATCTCCACAGTATCTCATAAGATCTTTCATATTTGTTATTACAATCTCTCTTGTCATTATTTCCCTTGGTATTTCTATCCTTTCTGCATTTAATAATCTAACTGATTCGTTGTTTATTAATCAACTCACTGTTATTACTACTGGTATAACTATTACTCGTACTAATCTTTCTATCTTTCTTATATTTTCGTGTAGTTTTGAATATATATTAATATTATCTGTAAATGCTTTACTTATGTTTTTATCTCTTACTATTCTCATATCTATAATCATTGCTTCTTTCTTATTTAAGTCTCTGATATAAATGTCTATTCTTTTATGGAATTTGTCTTCACTTCTGTTTACTATTTCGTGATTCCAAACTATAAGTATTTTATCTTTCTCTATTCTTCTTTCGTTCTTTCCTAATTCTTCTTTCCTTATTATTAATTTCTTTGTATTTTCTTATTAGTAAGATTTAAATAGTAATATGAAGAAATTTAAACAACAAAGAAATAAAAGAAGGAATTGTTAATAAAAATGAATAAAAGAAGCTAAAAATAAGAAAATGAATAAGGGATTAATGAAGAAATTTGAAAAAGGAGATAAAATTAGTAAAAAAACTAAAAGAGATATTTAAAAAGAATAAAAATAACTGATAAATATTATAGAAATGAAATTAATTTGTTTCATTGTTTTATTTACTGTTGTTTTATCAAAGGAACAATTAGTTATTGAAACAGTCAAAGGAGTTAATGGAGAAGCAGCATTCTTTATTGGAGTAGAATTTAATAAATGTTATTTTCTACGAGATGATGAGTCAAAATATCTAATAAATAATGGAAAAAACAATAACAGTAGAATATTACAAAGGATAACCTGCATGTCAAGGAAATAAAGAAACAAAAACATATGAAATAAATGATGCAAATTTAAAAAAAAAGATATGTGTGATGATGATACACTTGTTTGTAATGGAGAAATTAAATCATTACCAAATTATATTGAATTTGAATGAGGATAAGAAGATCATGACTGTGAATATAAAGATAATACAGTTAAACTTTATTATACTGGTAATTGTTTTGAAGAAGATACTAGTTATTGGAGTTATGAAATATATAATGATTCAATGACTTTAAATTCTTATCCAAATAAAAATTGTAATCAAAATGAAATAATTGAACGTGATTAAGAATGGAAATGGAATGTCTGTAGTGATGGTACATGGCAACAATGTTGTACTTATGATGGAAATAATAATAGTTCTGCTTCATTCTTTGCAACATCTATTTTCTGTGTTGTTCTTCTATTTTTACTTTAATTAATTCATTAATTAATTTGGTTATTCTCATATAGTTCATTTTCTTTATTTCTTTTATGGTATTTATTAAATTGTATTTAACTAATATTATAAAGAATATTATAATTTGAAATATTAATAACATTGAATTATTTGACATATTTTTGAGTATTGTTATAATTTTATTGATTCATACAATTCACTATAAATGTAAATAATTAAATAATTAATGTTTATGAATATTTTTAAAATAACAATTTGTTTCATAACATTAATTTATTTTTATTTAATAAAAAATAAAAATAAATGAAAATATTTTATTATACATTTAATGTATTACATGATAAATAGATACCGAATAAAAGGAAAAATAACATTTTCAACTTATTTTTATTTAATTAAATAAAAATTGAAATATATTTTCATTTTTAAATCCATAACTTGAAAATATAAAAATGTTCAATGATGTTTAATGGTAGGGTATATAAAAAGGACTAACAACACAGAACTAACATTACAACAAATGAATTACAGTCAATTTGAAACTGACTCATCAAATTGTTGGAATGGATTTAAAGTATCATTTTATAAGACGGTAATGGTTTTATTAAGTGGTTGTTATATACAATTTTTTTTCTTTGTAACCATGATTTTAATTGGAATATTGGTAATATTTTATATTTCTGTTGAACATATTGTGGTTAAAGGCTCATGGTTTTTCAACTCAGTTGTTTTAATTTATGGCTCTATTCTGTTAGTGGAAACAATATATTTTTTCATTTTATTTGCAGTAGGTTATATGTCTTCTTTTTTTATGAAATTTAATTCATTATTAAATGAGGATAGTGAAGAAGAAGCAAAAATCAATACAAAAAAAAGAAGAAGGAAGTACTAAAGAAAATACAGATGATATAGATGGAGTAGTTAATAAATTAAATAATAATGAAAATGAAGAAGAAGGAACAAATCTAAAAGAACAAAATATTACAGGTGAAAATACTGAAGAAAAAAAAGATAGAGAAGTTATAAAAGAAAAAACTCCTGATGCTGTTAAAGTTGAAATTAGTAATGAAAAAACTGCTAATGAAAATACCAATAAATTCAAAAAAATTACAAGTTGGTTACGTAAATCTGTGAACGAGCACTTTTTCTTGATATGGTATGTAATAATGCCTATTATTATTTTAATTATTGTAGTTTTTGTGGCACTTATAATAGCAATCCCAGACATAAAAACTAGCAAAGAAAAGTATTTTTATTCATTTATTGGTTTACTAGGTTTATCATATTTAGTTATTGGATCTTTAGTATTATTTGTGTTGTTATTTTTCAAAATAATGTATGATTTAATAACTCAAATTATAAAAATCAGAAATGAACAAATAAACACAAAAAGCCAATGGATGTTACTATTTGAATTGGTATCTCCTTGTCTTTCAAAGTTGGTTAAAAAATTTTGGTTATGGTGTAAACCATATGAAAAAGATCACAAATGGATTTCATGGGGTTTACGGATTATACATTGGGTTACTATTGCTTTGTCATTTGTGGTATTAATTTTATTTATTGTTTCTTTAGGATTTATGACTAAAGATGCAAAAAATATGATTGGATATTGGATTTTATTTGTTGTTTCAAGTGTTTTTATTGGGTTAATTTATGTTATAAAAGAATTAAGAGAATGTATAGAAAATGCAGAGAAAAAACATACTTCTAATAATACTTCTGTTAATGACACCAATACTCCTACAAATAAACGTACAGATAATGATACTTCTTCAAAAACAAAACAAAAAAAATCTAAAAAAAAAATAGATGGTTTGTTTGGATTTGATTTTGAATATTCCACTCTACTCCTTATTATTCTAATTTTCATTGTATGTTTAAGTCTTCCCATTGTCAAAATTATTCGTGTTATTTGCAAAGAAAAAAGTCCAGATACTGAGACTCCTTCAATAATTAATGAAAGTAGTCAAAAATATTATTACTTTGCAAATGAAATGGATTATTCCTATAATGACTTTGATTATGCAAATTCTTATATTACAAAGAGCAGTCAATCTCCATTAACTGATATTGTTCGTACTCATTCTCATTTATGTTCTGTTGATTCTTATGGTATTACTCCAATAGAATATGCTTACTTTTGTATAATGGCAAAATCCAATGTTACTAATTTAGAAGGTTGTGAAACAAATAGTCAAGACCCTTCATCATCTAAGCCATCATGTTGTTCAAAATCAAAAAATAAATTGTCTGAATCTGAAAAAAAACTAGAAGAACAAAGACTTGTCAAATGTAACCTTGAAAAAAAAGGATGGAAAATTAAAATCTGTGAGAAAAACGAGTTACATTATGTAATAACAAATAAAAAAATTAATGAAATACCTATTAAAGTAATAACTTTTAGAGGATCACAATCATTTTCTGACTTTGTTTATGATATTCAATTATTTTCAGAGTCTATATTTCCAAGTTTATCCACTCCTTTCTTTCCTTTCTTTACCAAAAAAACTCTTATAAAGATAAGTAAATTTTTATCTTATTTCGGTACAAAGGCATTACCAGGAAGTGACCAATTTCTTCTTGGCTTTGCAAAAGAAGTTGTCATGGAAGAATTGAAAGACAAAAATAATCCTAATGTTGTCCTTGCTGGGCATTCTCTTGGAGGTGGAATGGCAAATATTCTTGGAGGTGAGTTGGGGTTAATGAGTTTTGGGATATCTCCTCCTGGTACTTATTTAGCTTCAAAAAACTTTGGAACAAAGAAAAAAGATATTCCAGTAGTTGCAAGAGCCATTGTTCCCGAAAAAGATCCAATTGCTGCATTGGGAGAAGATGGTGGATTACAAATGTCAATTCCTTGTGATAAACATCTTTTTTCTTGTCATTCTATTAAAACATCTCTCTGTATGATTGGGAAGTTGTGTAGTGACAATGAAACGAAAGACATTTGTTCTGAAAACTGAAGTGATTTGATGATAAACACTTCATTATGGTAATTTATTCTACTGAATTATTTTATTTTTAAATGAAGAAGATAAATCAATAATATCATAATTTTCAATATTATTTCTATATTTTGTATATCCTGTATTTTTTCATTCATTCAACGCTTCTTTCTCGTTAAGAAGAATTACAGGAGACACCACAAAAAATATAAAAAAATAAATAACCAAAAAAGAAGAAATTCACATCAACCAAGAAATATAAATGACAGAAGAATGAGTGAAAATAGGTATTATCTGTATTGACAGAAATACTTGAATAATCACACTAATCATTACAATAACAATTATAACAATAATTATCACAACATAGATGATACAAATCATTTCACTCATCATTTCAATCATAATCATCGTCATAAACACTTTAATAATAACAAATTCAATAGAAATAAACAATATCAATATAAGAAAAATAAATATCATAATAACACACAAAGAAGATACAAACATTATCAAAATAAGAAACAAAATAAAAATCAAAGAAAAGAAATGATTGAAATACAAAATCAAGAATAATAGAAAAGACTCTTTGAAGAAGAAATTAAAATCATTGCACAACAAGAAGTAGAAGAAATTAAAAATACCAAGATTAAAGAATATACATCATCAACAATATGGAGAAGATGGTATTTTCTTGCACGAGAAAAAACAAAAACAACCAGAATGGAAGAAAAAACTATTAGTATGACTATGGAAGAAGACAATAAACAGTACAACCCAATTGGGATTAATGATAATAAAATATACAATAACTATGTAATGAGTATTGAAAGTGAAGAAGACGATGATAAAGATTCTACGAGAGTAGAAGCTAGGCTTGCTGAGGAGAAGAAGAGGCTAGAAGAAGAGGAGAAGATGCTTGCTGAGGAGAAGAAGAGGTTTACTAAAGGAGAGAAGAAGAGGCTGGTAGAAAAGGAAGAAGAAAACAGTAAAAAGAAAAAAGTAGAAGAAATAGAAAAGAAAGTGGAGGAGGATATGAAAGAGAAAGAAGAAATGAAAAAGGAAATATAAATAAAAGACCAAACCATTAAGAAACTAACTAAGGATATTATGGCATTAAAGAAGAAACATGAGAATGAGATAAGCACAAAAAACCACGAGTGTGATAAAAAATATTCAAATTCCATGCTGAATCTGAAAGAAAAAGGTCTGAAGTAAACAATTTAACACAACAATTAATATTCCTGAAAGATAAATTATCTAAATTAGAAAATGAAAGTACACAGGAAGAAAAGAAGAAAGATGATGTAAATTACAATATAACAGACTCATCTGAAACACAAATTGTGAATGACCTCTCCCCCAATGTGGTAGTAGATGATGAAATATCATCAAGTGAAGATGATCTTCCAAAAAAAAGAAAGTTAATGCAGAAATCCATTGAAGAAATGGATATTCAGCATAAGAAGATCATCACATTTGAATTAGACAATCAAAAAAACGGGGGAAGCAAACAGATAGAGAAGAAGATTTAACACTTTATAAATGTTTTGCTTTAAAATTATTTGAAAGAAAATTAAGATGTCAACATAAAGAAGAAATAATAGAAAGATTAATACACGAATTTGGAATTAAAGTAAATGATATTAATGAATATAAAGAAATATTAAAGAAGACATTTAAAATAAAGAATGAAAATAAAAGAGAAATCAATAGAATAATGGAAGAAGAAATAATAAAACATCAATGGAAAGATAATGAATTAAAAGAAATAATATCAAAAGTGAACAAGAAAGAGAAAGAAGAAATAGAAGAAGAGGAGGTAATGAAAATATTTAAAGAAGAAGAAATGAAAGAACAAGAAGATGTACAATTTATTAACTACTATTACAATAAGAAGAAAATACATCAAATAATTAATATTATTAATAAAAATGAAATAATAATCAATACATTAGATGATTATTATCACTATATTAAATCTGTAGCTTCCACTATTAACATCATTAATAAAAATAAACAAGAAAAGTATAGAAAGAATAAAACAAACAAAAATATGTAGATTAAGAGATTTACTCCATAATAAACAATATATGAAATTAAAAAGAATAATACATATTAAGAAATATGATATATACCACATTAAAATAAAAACAATTGAACAAATAAACTATTATAAATACCTCCGAAAGATGAAAATAATAGAAATAGAAACAAGAAAGAATAATTGGAAAAGAATAAGATGGAATTATAAAATGATGAAATATGGAAAAAGGCAACACCTAAATAAATCTAAAGAAGATGAATATCCAGATAATATCTCCACTATTAATTTCTGGAAAGGAATCTATGAAACTAACACTAATATAGATTTCCTGAATATTAATTTATATGAAATATTAATTGAAAGTAGAATTAATAATAGAATGTTCATAATCACTCCCAATGAATTAGATTGTGCTATTAAATTTATTGCTAACTGGAAAGTGAATTGAAAATGATAAAATACAATGATTTTGGATTAAATATTTAGAACAACCAAAGAAATATTTATTAAAATTATTTAATGAATGGTTAAACAATCCTAATGAAATACCTCTTCATTTCATTCAATGAATAGCAATATTAATATATAAGAAATGAGATAAATTAGAAACACAGAATTACAGACAAATAACTTGTTTAAATTGTCTGTTAAAAGTATATACATCAATATTAAAAATGAAAATAGAAAACCAGCTGATGTTAAATCAAATTGAAAAACAACTTTCATTAAATCAAATTGGATGTAAGAAATATACATATCATCAAAAGAAGGATTATTATATAACAATATAATCAATCAATTATTATTAAAGGATAATTGGAAGTGGGTAAAAACATATTATGACGTCTCCAAAGCATATGATAGTATTAATCATCAATGGATTAAACAATGCTTAATATATTTTAATATCCCACTAGTAGTAATTAATAGTATATTGTATATATTAAATAATACACATCTTAATTTATATTACAGTCAAGAAAGTGTGGGTATGATTAATGTAGAAAGAGGAATAATACAAGGTGACAGCCTATCTCCACTTTTATTTGTGTTATCTATTGATATATTATCTAAACAATTAGATAAACAAATTAACAAATTAAATATTAAAATGAATTGAGAAGAAAAACAAGTCAAGTTAAACCACATATTGTATATGGACGATTTAAAGATAATAACTAATAGCCTCGATGAAATGGAAAAATTACACAAATTAACTAAAGAAATATTTAATGCAATAGGATTAAAAATTAATGTAGAAAAGAGTGGGATAATGACTAATATTAATAGTCAAATAAATGGTGAATTAGCTGAACTACCAAGAGTAACTAATGATAATCATTATAAATAAATTGGTATTGAAATATGAGATAAAGTAAATATTAATAAATATTGTACAAGAATATTAAATTATGTATCTTCTATTTTATCATCATTAAATACTATGAAATATAACAGCATCAATACAATAAGAAAGATTAATAATGATATAATCTCCAAATTAAGATATGGATTTTGTATTGTCCCATGGAAACTAGGAGAATTGGAGAAGATAGATAAACAGATAAGAAAATCATTAATACAACTCCAATTATATAGTAGAAATATCCCAAAAAGTAGATTATATGTTAAAATAAATGAATTGGAAATAGGAATAATGTCAGCAAGAGATGAATGTGGTAAAGAATTATTAAGAATATATTTAAAATATAAGTGGAAATCAAATACAGGAATAGGAGAAATGATAGAAGCAATAAAAGAAAATCCAAATTGAATAATTAAAAGAATGAAGAAAGCATTTGGTAAGAAGATTAATTTTAATGAATTAATGAATGTAATATAATTAAATGAAAGAAAGCACAATGTAAAGGAAGTATTTGAATGGGTAAATAATGAATTAAATGAAAGATATTTAAATGAATGGAAAGAAAAGAAATGTGGTGAATATATAAGATGTGCAAATAGCACTTTTAATGATAAGAAATTAACAGTAGCCACTTGGAGGTCATTAAATATAAAAAGAAATGCATTCCTCCAAATAGTAAAAATGCAAGAAGGAGTGAGTATGATTGGAAGTATTAAATCAAAAATACTCCAAAATGATGTTTTAAAATATTGTAAACATTGTCATAACACAATTGCATCTATTAGTCATATCTTGTTAGGATGTCCTGTAATGAAAAAGAACCAAATATTAAAATATGATTATGTTTGTAAACAAATATTTAAACACATTTTAATTACCCATTTTAATGAATTTGATGCAATTGACTTTAATAATCTTCATAAATGTATTAATAATGATGAAATGGTTATAACTTACAATAAATATTTATTGGTTAGTGACAATTCATTCCATGCTAGAAGATAAGCTATATATTATCAAAATATGAAAGAAAAGAAAGGATATATTATAGATGTAGCTATATGTCAAGATAATAATTTAGAATTAAATTATATTCATAAAATAAATAAATAAATACAAAGAATTACAAGAGAAAATAAGAAATAATAGAGAATTAATATATTTAGAAATAATACCTGTTATATTATCAATAAATTAATACATAAAGAGTCTATAAGAAGATTAAAATCACTGAAATTACAATTAGACTTCCCCAAAATCCTACGAACAATAATTATCAAAAATATGAAAGACTTAATGTTTTATACAGGAAATTCTGGCAGCACATTAGAAGAAGAACAATATACTGCGAACATGTTAGAAATGAACTCTATTACACCAATAGAGCATATTGAAGAAACTGAAATAAACACTTCTCAGTATGAAGAAAATCCAACTGAGGATGTATGTAATAATTGACCTTTTTTTCAAAGAAATATATTTTTATTATTAATGAACAATATTAATCATTCACTTTTATATTATGTTGTATTTGAATCTTTATTAAAAGTAGTGATTTAATAATCATTTAATTGTTGTAATTACTTCATATTAAATTGTAAACAA